AAAGCAATAAAAAATTTTTCCAATTAAATAATCTTAGTTTTATTACATTTTTTATTTTACTATTTAGAGCAGATTTTCTGTAACTAGGGCTCCTGTCTGGAAAAAAAAAATTGATTTAAATTCTCTGACAATTATCTAATTTTTGAAAGAATTTTCAAATCACTGTTTTTCCCTGCAAAAAGACCATGAAATTTCAAATACTAATTAATTAATGCAAGATAAACACAATTTTTAAGGTTCTAAAAAGGATTAAAAAAAAATATAATTTAATAATTAAAAAATCCTTTGGCCCTTCCTTTTAATAACAACAAAGATTTTGACGATAAAACTTTATTTTTAAGTTTGGGTCATTTTTTTCATGTATGCTCATTTTTTTAGCAAATCTTTGGAGGTACCTACTATAGTATATATCGGTATGTGAAGCTATTGTGATATACGTTTGCCAGTGGATAGTTCAAGTGAAAAAATAGAACAAAATAATATGGTTAGCCGAAATAGTATGTTTGTAATGTAAGGTCAACAGCTGTCAGTGGCACCAGTCTGTTTCATGTTTAAATGCAATCTTTATACCTGAAGATTGCATATAAGCATGAAACACTGTCGCTGCTGACTGTTGACCTCAATGTTTACCGTTATATTTACATATGTTCTATCCCTGATATTGAGTACTTTAACCCAGAACTATAGCATACTTTAAAACTAGGTTTTTCTCTCACACACACACACACACACACAACTGGGCACCTGAACAGCAACAAAAATTTCATTAAAATTTTATGTAAGTAGGTACCTGCAAAGAAATGCGATACCGAGGGTTTAAAATGAAATTTTAAAAATGAAAAATCTTTCTTGAAACTTATTTTGATTTTAATTCCAAGCTAATAGATTAAATTTCATGTTTCCAATAGGCAAAGCACTTTACCATATTTCAAAACGAATTTAAATTGATTGAAATGAGATTTTTCTTCTTTTTAATCACTAAAAATCGCTGATTTTAGCCATATTTACAATTCTCTCAGCACAATGTAATTCTCTTTATTAAAAAAATCTTTCAAAAATAAAATATACTTTTCTGAAATTTTATTTGAGGAAGTTTAACTGATTTCACGTTTAATCAATCTTATTTGAAACCAATATTACTTTTAGTTTAAAATATCGCAGAAAAGAATTAATAAACATGGAGATGGGTGTTTTTTTTTTATGAAGTGTTGGCAGTTCTATTGACAACCTGATGTTTGGGAAATTTATTTTTTTTTTGTGTGTGTGTGTATATATATATATATATATATATATATATATATATATATATATATATAATTTAAATAAAAACAGGACACTTTAAGGTTCCATGTAATAAATTATTTCACATTGCAGTCCTTTAAAAGGACTGCGGATCATCACACTTTCCGCAGTCCTTTAAAAGGGTTGTGGTGAAATAATTTATTACATGGAACCTTAAAGTGATCTGTTTTTATTTAAATTATTTGCTCTGGATTTACATTGAGCTCTCTGGATTTTATCCTCCTTGGGTTTACCCATACGGATTACCTAGTTTTTCATAAACTATATATATATATATATATGTGTGTGTATATATATATATATATATATATATATATATAAACTAGATGATATAACAAGAATGTCTTGTATAATTTTTTTAATTACCCTGTAATCTTAAAAAATTAGGAAAATATTCTGTTTTATTGAGTTTTAAGTAGTTTGGCTTTAAATTTATTATAGTTATCACTCTTATTTTCTAATGTTGGACATCCATATTTATAAAAATCAGCACATTTATACACAGACAAAAAAAAAATGTAATTCTTTTCAAATACTGGAGGTTGCTGAATTGAAAGCTTTTTCATGTATGATTAATAATAATTTTTACTTAATAACTTTATCACAGAACCTATACAGAATTCTGAAAGGTTTAAAGCTTACCCTAAAATCTAAAAAAGAAAAAAATGGAAACACTTCTTGTAAAAATTAATTATTCATTGAAAAAAAAAAATTCTTAAGACGATAGTGTCCATAATATATCTTATTCACGAAAGCAGTTAAAAGCTTTTCCAATTAAATAATGTCTTAGTATAATGCATTTTATGATTCAGCAGATTTTTGGTAACTAGGAGTCCTGTTTTACAAAAGAAAATTGATGATTTAAATTCTCTACGGAGTTCTTGTTTATAACTAATATAGACATTAAGCTTCACAAAATTAATTTCTCGAAATTTCATAAAATAAGTGAAGGACAGCGGGTATATATATTTTAAAAAAAAAAAAAAGAAAAAAAAAAAGCATTTCTAACATAATTTCATTTGTGAATAAGTTCTGAATTTTTCATTAAAATCCAACAATTGATTTTTGTAAGAATTTCAAATAAACTATTAATTTATGGCAACTCACTGTCACAAGAAAAAAAATTTAACCAAAAATTTGAAGACTCTAAAAAGGATTAAAAAATATAATTTAATAATCAAAAAATCCTTTGGTCTTTCCTTAATAACAAAGATTTTGATGATAAAACTTTATTTTTATTAAGTTTGGGGCATTTTTCATCATGTATGCTAATTTTTTAACGAATCTTTGGAAGTACCTATATAAGAATTCAACATAAACAAGCAGATAAAAGATGAAATGTTCATTGATCATGTATCAAATGAATGGTAGGTGCATTTGCATTGAACTTCCAAACATTCCTTGTTTTGTTGGCATTGACCATAACTACTACTAAACCTTGAGGTATACCACACTCCCTTGACTACCTTTTAAACTAACTGAAACATACTAATTGCTCTGTTTTGAATTACTCCAATTCCCCTGTCTGCTGTTGTTCCTCTTATTTTTTTTTTTTTGTCTGGTTCCCTCAGACATTGGCCAATCAGAGCATGCTAAGCCACATGTGGTCTCCACCTGGGAGTGGGATCAACTATAGGTCAGTTCACTCAACCAATCTGATGTAACTTTGATATGTCAAAAGCTCTTTTTTTCCCCTCTATTGCTATGAAAGCAAAGATATAGTAGATATTGTAAGCACTGAAAATATTTGAATCAAGAAAGAAAATAAAAGGCTTTGTCATGAGAATGGTTTTGTAGAAAAGGTTACACATAATTTTAAAAATCATAAACGGAAGGAAGAAAAGGCAATGACTGTAAGTCCCCAGTAGTACCATATTGTTTTAAATTTGTCATATAATTTTAACAAATAAAAACAATTTTTTTATTGTATATTCTAGATATGAATATAATATCAGGAAAAAATATTTTTCTTTTATTTTGCTGTTTATTCTTTCCTTATTTTTTGTTTTTTCTCTTTATTTCTCTTTATTCTTTCCTTTTTCTTTGTTTATTTCTCATTTTATTCTTTGCTTATTTCTCTTTTATCTCTCTGCTTTTCTTTGCTCTTTCTTTTTTCTTTGTTTTCTCTATTTTCTTTTTAATTAACACTTAAACAATGTATTCCTCCTTAAAAGTTCACTTATTTTAAATCAGATAAATGCTAAGTTTTTACAATACTACCATTGCAATATTATTTTTCTTTTACTTTCTCTCCTGTGTTTCCATACAAAAAAAAAAGTCTCAATCAGTTTATGATTACATATCATGTGTCTGTGTGTCTTTAGCCCTATGATAGCTCTTTGTTAAGGTGCTTTTTTTTTTTTTTTTTTTTTTTTATATATTTCAAATTGTCTTTCTTTTTTCTAGTATTTAAATATAAATAAACGTGTTAGTACTCTTGGCTATCATAAGCTATTTTTTTGTGGGGGTTGTCCTGTCAGTTATGTAATTTTCAATGATGCAACTGACAGTACAAAATACACATTAAAAATGATGTAACTGACATAATACAAAATCTCTTTGATAATGGCTTATGAAAACCAAAAGTACTCAGACATTGGGCAATTTATATTTAAATATGTACCAGTAACTAATTCATCCTTAAACACTTCTATTTTATTCAGAAAATATTTCCTGGTAGAAATTTATTTTATTTAGCATGAATAATTGGTTCCATTTTACTGTTCATTCTGAAAAGATTTGTTTTCCTCTCTCAGATCTATATTTATTTTTAAATGCTATTTGGCAACAGGGTTTTATTGACGTTTTTTTTTCCTTGCTCTGTCCTAAAAGACAATATACTTAAAAATCTATACTAAAAATGAATTTTGTCATGGCATATAAATTAAATTTTTTTTTATTTTTTTATTTAAAGCAATTTTCATTCAGCAAATATTAAAATAAATGAGATGTGTACATGTAATGATTATCCAGAATGACTACAATTATTTTCTAAAGTATTTCATTAATTTTACTTACTTTTTTTATAGATTGGTTATAAAATTGCATTGCCAACAATAAAGAGTTTGTGGTTTATTACTTGTAGTTAATGACGAGAAAGAAAAATTAGTAACTCACATGCCCATCAAATACACTTGCATTTTGGCAAAGATCCTTGTGAATAAATTAACTTCTGTGATCCAATCTGCATATCAACTTAGTGACTTTTTGTAAATATTTTATCCCTTACCTTATTTTAGGAATGTTAAAGGTTAGTATTATTTTAAAAGTATTGTATCATTTTGTTGAAGTAGTAATATTTAACTAATTTATATTTTTAATAGCTTGTAGATGGAATTGTGAAATTCACTCAAATCATTATTAATGCTATTTTAATTTTGTATTTATAATGTTATGATCCAATTTCTGTATATTCATGTGTTGGTTACATAAGACTGCAAAAACAATACATTGTAATGTAATTTTTGCTAGTATCATACTGTTAAAATATCCTAACTTGGAGAATAAAGCAATTACTGATCCAACCAGTTTCTGAGCCAATTTTAATCAAGTGTAAATTGACCCCAAAAAAAGTCTATCCAGAGGAAATAACTCCAGATGTGTTAACTACAAAATTACATTAAGCAAAGATTACTGAAGATGGCATTTAAATTTTAAAAATTATTTTCCTATTATTAAAACAAAGACTATTCTTTCAGCGCCATGCCACTCGAACCCAACGGGAAGACTCTGATGATGATGAAGAGGAATTCCATTATGAAATGGAAGAGGAAGTTCCAGGGTAAGTGCAGAGAAAATAGTTGTTTATCTTTTGAAGTTAAGTAAAATGAACAATTACAGCAAGTATGTTTTTATTTTTATTTTTGTATGAAAATGTGAGAAAGTTACTATTATTTTTTTTCCTTATTTTTTGTTCATTAAATCGTTCCATCAAGAAATGTTTTAGAAATATATTTTTTGATATGTTCTTTCTTTCAGTGAAACAAAGAACAAAGAAGACATTGATGGTATAGATGCTGGTAACTTGGTTGTTCTTGAAAAATTGAAGCAGAACCAAAGGCAAGATTATCTGAAGGTTTGTTGGATTATCTTTTGGCTTCAAAACCTTTTTCTTTTTTTTTCTTTTTTTCCAAATTGTGGATACTTTTTGAGTTTGCAATAGTACCACTTAACAGTTGTATATCACTAATTTCATTATCATTGTGATCATGTTCATGCATTATTATTCTCAATAATAAATGATATGGACCTGTGTTTTTCTTTGATACTGACTCTTAGCTTTCACTGAAAATCTGTCAAAGTTAAATGAAAGTAAAATAAACTAAAATGTTGCAATAAAAATGGTCAATTGCATGATTTTTGGAAAAATTGCAATGTACCAATATGCAATTTGAATTTTGATTTATTATTCCTAAGTTTCTATTAATAACAATTTTACTTTTTGCAGGGCAATGTATGTGGATCAGTGCAGGCAACAGACAGATTGATGAAAGAATTGCGAGAAATTTTCCGATCTGAAAGCTATAAGAAGGGTTATTACTTTAACGTTACATAATGTTGAAATCTATGTGAACTGAATTTTAAATAATATTTAAGGTGTTTCTACTGATATCCATATTAAAAATACTCTATGTACCATGAAAGTTGATACATTTTTTTTTTTAATATTTAGCATAAACTTGTTATGACTGTTCATGTTACTTCAGTAAATGTAAGTTTATTTCTTTTCTCTTTCAGCAATCTATACAATAGATCTAGTCAATGAATGTTTGTATGAATGGAATGTGAAATTGTTCAAGTAAGTTTTCATTTATTTCTTTCTCATTTTTATTGTAGTTTTTGAGGAGTAGAATTTTAATGTATAAAACCTGTTTGTTAAAATCAGTCTTTCATTGAACAGTAAATCTAATATTGAATCTTATTCAAAGTATATTGCAGAGTGATACAAATAATTTATGGTGGGTCTTTGATTCCAAATATTCAGTAATGTTTGACATTATATTAATAGTAAATTCTAAACAAATCAGTAATGCCAAATGTGTCTAAGTATCTTATGTATGGGACATTGCAGATAACTATAGTCAAGAATAATTTAGAATATACTTTGAGGTTATAAATTCTTGTTGTCCAAATTTTATTGGTTAGGCAGTTATCAAGAATTTTAATAGATTAAAATGTACTTTTAAGAAATGATGATAGAAAAATAGTTTAGTCAAAAGATTTTTCTTTTTATTTCAGAGTTGATCAAGATAGTCCACTACATGCAGACCTTATAACTTTCAAGGCAAAAGAAGGCAGAGATCATATACTTTTGAATTTCACTTTCAAAGTAAATCATTTTCTTTTTTCTTTTTTTTTTTTTTTCTTTTTTTAATCTTATTTGTTCAAATATGGATGCATATAGAAAGAACTTGGTGAATCTAAGCTTTTCATGAAAACTATTGTTATATTTATTTTCAGTTGATTGGATTAGTTTCAGTTTGAAAACAAATGATATTGCAATCATTCTTTACCTGTCTTGCAGGCTATAAATCAAAATTCAAAAAACAATTAGGTATAAAATTTTAAATACCGGATTAATCCTAAGTTCTAACCATAAGGATTTGATTTCTCATTAATTTTGAAAGAAATAATAGCACCATACTATAAACTATTGTATAATGTGGGAATAATGAGATCAATTAAGATTTGTTGGGTTGCGATCTTGTTTGTCTACTGTTCAGGATCAAGGCAAAGAATAATAACTCTGTAAAGGCTAGGATGTATTCCTCTAAAGAAGAACTCAAGAAGTGAATAAATGATTTTATAAAGGGCTTATAGTAGGGACATAAAAAACTAAAAAGTAATCCAGTGTTTGTGTAGGTTTTGGAAAATTAACAGGGCCTCTTCCAGCTAAAATTGTCCTTTAAGAAATGTTTTTTAGTTGTTAGTAACACTTTTTTTTATTTTTTTTATTTTTTATTAGGACAAGTTCATGACCTTGTAGTTACTTCTGTATTTTCTTGTCTAGGTGGCGAGAGAATATATGAGGTGTGTCTTCTCTTAACTCAACAAAAGATGAAAAGCAAAGATAGAAGATGTCAGAGACAAGTAAACATCTATGTCAAAGATAAATTAATTCACATTCATTGAATTTAGAGCTGGAAGGAAAATAATAAATTATTTTACAGTAATACATTTTAGTAGAATCTTGAAAAATTTATCAGTGTTTAAAATTTGAACAATGGAAGAAATTTTATTAACATGTCAATTTCAAAAGTAAAAAGTACTTTTGATTTCTAGTCAGCAGTGGCTGAAATCATGCTGGAAAAATAGATAATTTACTTGTCTGTGTCATTGTGTATCTATGTGTAAACTACATTTGTCTAAATTGTTGCCAAAAGTAACAAGTTTGAGAATCAGATTTAACTCAAAGAAAATGTAGATGAGAAGTATGATAGAGTAGAAAATGTGCCTTTGATGTGTTTTAGGATAGAAAATGTTATTTTTAAAGTTTGCAGGCTGATAATGACCTGTAGCTTTTGTTGTAAGTCTGAAAAAATGATGAAATATATTAAAATTTACTTGGCTTTATAAAAGTTCAATCTGGTAAACCTGTCCCTTTACTTTTGTATTTCTGCCATAGATGGCTAGATGTCATCAGATTGTGTACTTAATTAAAAAGAAACAAGAAAATGTCCCCAGACCAAGAAATCCTTCTGCGGTTCTGTCAAACATGAATGATGTTTTATTTCCAGTGAAACTGCAGATTTTTGTGTCTGTTTAGAAAGACATTGAACCATTTCTGATAAAATATTGGTGATAAAGCATTGGTTCCTTTGCTTTATTTTTAGCATGATCATGAAATTTAAAATTTATAAAAGAGCACACTAAAAAGATAATTACATTTTCTAAACTGAATGAATTTGTAAGAATTTTGTCAAACCCAAACAGGCATAAAGATACTGCAAAGATCGAGTGTGAATTTCTGGCAAATAGGGACTTTGCAAAATTTATCCCCAAAAAGGAAATATGTCAACAAAAGATCTGTCTGCATGCAGAATTGCAGCAAAGACAATGTTCATCCCCAACATAGAGAAACTTCTGGCAAAGTCTCTCTTTTGATACCCTCTTGTTTGGTCACTTGCATGACTGAACCTTGGATCCATTTGTAAAAAAAAAAAAAAAAAATGCCATAGAAGACAGTCTGAAAAGATGTCTTTCCCCACATGATGGACAGAAAACAAGCCAGCAAGTCTGATTGTGATGACATCATCAGTCAGTACAAAGAGTTTGAGGAGGAGGCTGCTGGAAATATTGCTTTAAAGAATTTCAGCAAACATGAAGACCATCTGGACACTTTGTTCTATTCTTCTTTGTCTAGCAACAAAGAATATCAAAAACTGGAAAGTTGTTTGCAGATTGCTGGTACTCTCTCATAGGCAGGCCTCAATGGAGAGAGGTTTCTCAGTCAATAAGGAAATTTCCACTGACAATATGAAACAGCAGACTGGTTGCACAATGCATTATCATGGAGTATTTGGCCACAGTTGGAGGTGCTGGGTATGTTCCCATGACTAAGGCATTTCTCTGCAGTGCTTCCAATACTAGAAGAGCATACAACCAATACTTTGAAACTGAGAAAAAGTAGGCAGCGAGAAGCAGATGCTTATGTGTTGTGGAGTAAACAGTACATCCCTAGTGACTATTTGAACTAGTCCATAACTCTAAAGCTTCAGGTCAGAGGTAAAGGGAGAAGCTGTTTGGAGTCAGTTTTCAGACTAATTAATACAGGCATCACGGCAAGTAGTCAAAGCATTACTTATATTATAACTGCTACTTAGTATTGTTATAACAGTAGCAATGAAGGATTCAAAACTCAGGCAATTTATAACCTTTGTGACGAGGATTCAGAACTCTTACAACTTAACAGTAACAAGGATTTTTGAAATTCATACTGAGTATGGAAAATATACTTGTTACTTCGGGAACAAGGATATGGGTGACAAGAATTTTAACCATGCTGGTTTAAAAAAAAAATTTTCCGTTGTGAATTCAGAGCTAGAGATGTGGTTTGCCAAATTATCCCATTGTAACATTCTACAAGACCGTTCCCAAATGGATTATAAATAATTGAATGACTCCTAGCTGCACCTTGCATGTTCAAAAAAAATGGTGAGTTTTTTTAGAAAGAAATGATTGGCCTCTGTCAGAATGAATATGCACCAGTATTCCAAATAGGCAGAAAATATTTTGTAAACAGTGAATAACTGTTTGAGAGGTCAAGTCCTTGCAGAGAAATGCAAACAGAAATGTTTTATTTTTATCGATTACTGTAAACATATACCTATAACACCTTTCATCGCCTGGTGTGTAACCACGTTTAGTGGTCCAGTATTCAAGGTCTTAGGATGACGTTTTAACCACGGCTAACTCTGTGCTGGTCAATGCGGACAGTGGTCCAGGCTACTTCAATCTACACTGTTTCTGCCAATGTTGTGTTCTTGATCTTGGAGCAGTGGAAAATTGAATATCGTCGTATTGGCAGCACTGGTTCAAGCCATGGCAAGTACTATATTAAGGAAAAAATTATCTTCACAATGAAAAAAATAAATCCAGAAATTTGTGGGGTTAATCTTTAATTGGTTTATATAGCTCTTAGTACAACAAAATTAACCCTTCCCACATCAATTTCTATAGTCACACTGGGCCTTGTCTAAACTTCTGTAAGGTTGAGTTCAAAGTCTTGGAATCAGGAATTTTGGTGGCAGCTGACATGGATGGGGGGGTTCGCTGATTCCCCAATTTTCTTTAATCACAATAAAGGCTTTCTTTGTTCTCTATTTCTGCTTTCTTAATCAATTTTCCAAATTTGGAAAATTATCCACCTTCCTTGGGAGTAGTCATAGGGATTGCTCTTCTCTTAACTCCATCCTGCTTCATTTCACATCTCACACCACTACTCTACACAGGCTGGGATAAATTCTGCCCCTTCCTCCTTGTTATTCTAACTCTGCCCACTTCTCAGGCCAGCATAACTGTCTAATTTTTAAAATGTGTAGAAGAAAGGTTGTGGTTTATTCTCATTAAATTAATTTCTCTGATTCCTTTTGCACAAACCAGAACACCTTGGCACAACAAGATTGATCTTCATAACCTCAACCCTAAGAAAAAGGGTCCATTCCTAGTTTTCATCAACAAAAATATAATTCTCATCTGCGTTTCTTTCTGGTAATAATATGTATTTTCCTAATTTCTCAAGAAAGAGATAAACATTTCCCAATTTGTTTTACCTGCATGCCAAATTTCTGATAGATAAGAAAAATAAAACCTAGGAGAGAAGAAATCCAAATTCTCACCAAGGAAAATGTCTTGTCTCTCTCTCTCCTTCCTTGTTTTTATCAATGAAAATATAATTCCTGTCTGTCTAAATTCTCAAGGAAGAGATAAAATTGTTCTCCAAATCTGTTTTCATCCACATGCCAGACTCTCAATAAATAAAAAAAAAATGAACTTTTGGTGCATCATTGAGGCAATCCAGATAACCTTTTCTTCACTTTCACATTACCAGGGAAAATGACTTTCTCTCTTTCTATCTCTCTCTCTCTCTCTCTCTGCTTATATTTCATTTTGGGCTTAACTCTTTTCTGCTCAGAATCAATGTTTAACTACCTCACAGCCTCAGCGTTACATAACAATTTTTAGTATTTGTTGGTAGGGGTCCTTTAAAGTTAGTAAGCCCCTCAAAGGGCCATGTAGCCTTTATTAGATGACTTTCATCCTTGAAATAAATCAGGGTTTTATTTTGGAGCACACAGGACAGGTTTTCATCATTCTTTTTGTCTCCCATTGAATAAGGAAAATTTTTACTTCATACAAAATAGGCCATATGTGTTATTTCAGGGTGACACAAAGAATCTTAAATCTTTGCTGATTTGTTTGGATTAGTGGCTGAGCAATGTGATCTAGATAATGTATCAGCAGCATAGTTTTGGCTTCCCTGAATGATAAATGATATCATAAAAATAGCAAGAAAGTTTGAGTCACCATCTTGCAGTCTTTTTCATTTTTTAAATTTTTTCTGCTCTTCTTTCATCGAACATAAATGATACAGATTTTTGATCTGTTATTAGTTGAAAATGCTTTCTCAGCAAATAATGTCACCACTTACGCAAAAACTCTGTGATAATGTATACCTCTTTTTCGTAACTGAAAAAAAGGCTATGGGTCTGCCATTTTGACTGATCATTGTGGCGACGGCTTGTTCTGAGGTGTCCGTTTCAACAACAAAAGGTATATTATTTTCAATAGTAAAGACTACAGTGTTTACGAGGTCTTGCTTGATATTTTTAAAAGCCTCATTAGCAGATTTTTCTAGTAGAAATATTCAAATTATTAATTTCTGGGAAAATTGGTATACCCACTTAGAGTAATGAGAGAACAAACCATTTGCTCGGTATAAGGAATCTTTGTTAGTTTAGGAGGGGTTACAAACGTTCTGGATCAGGTTTTATTGTACTATCTGATATGTCATAAACCAGAAGGTTAATAGAATTTTGATAGGATTGTAGGTTAAATTAAGGTGCTTATCAACTTCCATAAATTTACGTAAATTTTTGTCATGCACAGATTGAAGTTGGCCACATATTGTCAATTTGAGCATAAGTGTCTTTATTGCTATTCCTAATTATTTGGTCAATAACTCTTTGAAAATCTGCAACCCATTTGTAACCTCAAAAAGAACCCAGTAGAACTAATGAAATGTGCCATTTACTTCAAAAGCTGTAAAAGATTTATCTTGTTCTTTTATCCAGATTTGGTGGTAGGCGCTGAGCAGATCAAGCAAACTAAATACTTGATACTTGGATATCTTTTCTTTTAAATCATTGATGTTGGGTAGATGATAAGCATCTAGCATAAATCTATTAATGTTTTGAGAATACTTGACCACTAAGCGTTTCTTGTGATTTTGACCACCAGTAACCAATACTTGTGTGCTCCACGGGGATAAACTAGGTTCCACAATACCTTTGGCTAAGATCTGTCTTATGAGTTAATGAATTTAGCATCAGCTTCATAATATCTCCTTCATTTGATAGCCTTACAATTGGGAGAGAGAGATTATTGAAAAGCATGGGATAGGGAGCCTTCATTTCATACAAAAGAAATTTTCACTTTTAATTTAGAAATTTTAGAATGTAGGCACAGAATGTCATGCCCAATTATTACATTGACACATAAGTTACCAAGAGGTACTGTTAGTAATAGTATCAGAGGCAACTGCATTAATGGTGTAGTCAAACTTTGTATAAGCATAAGACTCCTTTTTAGCTACTTTTAAGGAAAATACCAGTTCAAATGCTATCTCCAAGTCTAAGGTCTTGTTTTCCAATAGATGTGCGTTCTGGGTATGACGATAAACTACATCCGCTTCCTGGGTATGACGATAAACTACATCCGCTTCCTGGGTATGACGATAAACTACATCCGCTTCCTGGGTATGACGATAAACACATCCGCTTCCTGGGTATGACGATAAACTACATCCGCTTCCTGGGTATGACGATAAACTACATCCGCTTCCTGGGTATGACGATAAACTACATCCGCTTCCTGGGTATGACGATAAACTACATCCGCTTCCTGGGTATGACGATAAACTACATCCGCTTCCTGGGTATGACGATAAACTACATCCGCTTCCTGGGTATGACGATAAACTACATCCGCTTCCTGGGTATGACGATAAACTACATCCGCTTCCTGGGTATGACGATAAACTACATCCGCTTCCTGGGTATGACGATAAACTACATCCGCTTCCTGGGTATGACGATAAACTACATCCGCTTCCTGGGTATGACGATAAACTACATCCGCTTCCTGGGTATGACGATAAACTACATCCGCTTCCTGGGTATGACGATAAACTACATCCAACAGCAAGGCTTCTGATAATACGTTTTTGAGAAAAAAATGTTACCAGCTATACGTTTTTGAGAAAAAAATGTTACCAGCTATACGTTTTTGAGAAAAAAATGTTACCAGAAATGGATTTTTGACAAAACAAAAATATTATCAGGAAGAAAAAAAAAAGTTGTCTGCATTAAATGACCCATTGAGGTTGATATGCCGTAAAACAAAACAAACCAAACCAATAGATGTTGGTGAATGTAGCTGGAATATATCCCATTAATAAAGGTGTCTCTAAGGTGTTCTTTTTGCACTCCTTGGCAGTATGAGACTGAAAATTGCAGTCCTGTGTCAAAAACCTTAGGTTTAGGAGGTACTGATCCAAACTTTTGTTTGGATCTTGGTTGCAGTTAGAGTGCAAATGTCATACAATTACCTTGTTTTTAGGTTTTTAATGTAGAGATTTCCACAGCAGTCTCGTAAGAGGTTGATTCTTTAACGTTTGTAAATTGCCAGTGAGAAAAAGTTAATAAAATCTGGTTGTATCTTTAGGGTTGATAGTGTCAATAAAAATACTGAAAGTTTTAAACAAGTGGTGCCATTGGTCTGCAGCAGCACTCACATTAGGGTCCACCTCAAAACAACAGGGTCTCAGATATCTTTCGATAGCTTATGTTGATTAAATTGTTGTGAGCTAAGAAGAAAGTGTTTAGCTTTATTCAACATAGAACATTGCTAGGTTGTTAAATGATAAAGACTCCGGCTTTATAGGTTGTGTGAGGAATAACATCAGTAAGGGGAGGTGGCAGTAAGTATAGAATAGTAGTCACCATGACATGGTCAAGAGAGTGCTCTGGCCAGAAGTTGAGGACAACAGTTTATAAATTAAGTATAACTAGTATGACTTGCATATGAAATACTGATAGCATTTAAAACTTATGTGATTTTAATTTTTTTTTTTTTTTCTAAACTTAGGACACATTTCCTTTTGATCCTCCTTTTGTTCGAGTTATCAATCCTGTCATTTCTGGTGGATATGTGCTCAGCGGAGGAGCCATCTGCATGGAACTCCTTACAAAGCAGGTACAATTGCTTTTTTTTTTTTTTTTTTTGCGCTCATTTATATTCCATAAATACTAATACTCATTTTTCATAATTTGTAAATATTCTTTGATATTTATTTTACAGGGTTGGAGCAGTGCCTACAGTATAGAATCTGTTATACTACAAATAGCTGCAACTTTGGTGAAAGGAAAGGCACGAATAAACTTCTCTGCTTCTAAAGTAAGTAATTGAAATGGTTTAAACTAGTTTTTCTTTTATTGAATCAAAAAATGCTTATGTCCATTTATAAAACCTGCTTTCATGATCCTTACTTTTAAACAAATACTGAATAATATATAGTTTCAATTGTATAATTATTATCCTTTTCATTCTTGATAAAGTTATTCTTTTTTTTCCTTTTTTGCTTATATCAGAACCTTGTCAAAAAAATGCCTAGAATATTTTCTAGGGAATCCTCAATCTTTTGAAGACTATTCTATTTTAATAATTCTGATTACATTTCAAAATCTATCAATTTTCATTACCTTTTCACCACTGTTTTATAAAGACTTTGAAAAGAAACAATTTGTTCATTGGCAGTAAGATTTGCACTTGTTCAAGGTTAATGTTCACTCCTATATACAATATCACATTGTGAGTATTTTTATTTACAATTAACTTACCTATAAAAAAATCATAACTAGTAAATCTTTTTCCTTTTTAGAATCAATATAGCTTGGCCAGGGCTCAACAAACATTCAAGTCTTTGGTGCAAATTCATGAGAAAAATGGTAAACCTGCTAACTTTTTTTCAATTTCTAATAATTTTATATTAGATTAGAAATCAAGTGACAGTTGATTTAAAAAAAAAAATTATTGGTAAATGTTGTTTACTGTCTGACTTCCACTTCACAAAACAATTGCATGAATTTATAATTCTAATCTCTATATATAAAGTTGTAGCCTCTGCTGTCTCCTAGGGTTTTGGAGATAGACCATCATAACCATATATATTCTGAAACTACATTACCCAGGATACTTGGATAAATATATAAGGGGGTCCCCCGGGGGGCACAAAACTACTGAAAATTTTTCCCCTTTGATTTAAATTAAATTTAAATTTGAAAAAGGGAATGACTCCTATCCAAAAATATAGAAGGAGAAAGCCAGAAAATGGAGGTCACATCAGCAAGATCAAAATGAGACAATATGGACGTCAAATTGAGCAAGAAATCGCCAATACATATTTGTTGCAACAATTCCACTGTCATATCAATGTTGAAATTTGCTCATATACATATATATTCTGAAACTACATTACCCAGGGTACTTGGATAATATATTTCACTTTGATCTCAAAGGGGTGCTTTTTATACACACAATCTCCCCCACTGAATTTTTTTTTTTTTTTTTATTTAAATTTGAACAAGGAAATGACTCCTAGCTAAAATATAAAAGGAGAAAGCCATAAGATGGAAGTCACATTGGCAAAATCATTAAGTAATATTGAAATGCATCATTTTCTCCACAAATTATAATGATTTTAAAATCAATCATTTTCTTAATAAAAAAGAAAAGAAAAGTGTGACACACCACAAGGTGCGGTTAATTCAGCTAGTTAGATTTATAAAATTAGTATTTGAAATTGAGATTCTCATATTGTTAATTATTGTAAAAGTTATATTTGTTATGTAAAAAATGTTAATTTTGAAAATGGACCCTGTTTCTTAGTAGTATTTTTAAAATTTTCACTTAAAAATTAAATTGTAAATGTGATTTGGATTTCTTTTCTTTTCTAGGATGGTTTACACCGCCAAAAGAAGATGGTTAATTCACTGGATCAGTGTAGCTGAAGTGCAAAATTTTTTTTTTTCCCTTTTATTTTGTTATTATTATAATTATTATTATTAATAATTATTTTAATTTAATTTTTTTTTCTTTATCATTTGGGATTTGTCATGAACTATTCCCAGAACTCAACCATCATGGGTGTAAAGCTAAGTACTGATCCTCCCTATTAAACTTTGCTGCTGCTACTTCTTTTACATTGATCACTCAGAACATTGACCGGCATTAAAAAAAAAAAAATGGCAGACTTAAGAAAAGAAGTGGAAAAAAAGCAGTGAAAAAAAAAAAAAAAAAAAATTGTGGAGGATAAATAAAAGGGCCAAACAAAATAACCTTTTACTCACTTTGTACAGATGCACAAACCACTGCTAATCCTATTCTACTATTATTACTCACCATACACACATACTGCAGAATTTGAAAACTTTCCTGGTTGATCCACATAGCCAGTTGACATGAAAGATGTTCGTGCAGGCAAACAGACACTCAATACCTCTCGAGCATGTGGCAGCAGAAGAAAAAAAAAAAATTAAAGGAGACCTGTTTTTTCACAAGTTTTGTCAAAATGATGGGGAAAATTTGTTTGTAGGATTCTTTTCTTTTTTTAAATCGAAAATTTAGGTTTTTTTTTTTTTTTGTTTGTTCTTGTTTTGTCATTTCCCCATTTCTCCTTGTGTTTTCTTTGCTTCCACAGCAAATGAGATTTTGGTGGTAATGTTTTATGGGTTAATCCTTCCTGCTTGATTAGAATGATTTTAATATCCGGTCCTATATATGCATACATAAAGTGACTTTCTAATGGTTAAGGGTAAATGTGGGACTGGACTTAATAAACACCAGTGTTCCATATGTTATATTCTATTTCCAGCTCATTGTTTTGATATGGAAAAGGACGTGGAAAAAAAAATTAAAGTTTCCTGCTCGTCATGTGGTATTAAATGTAAAAAAAAAAAAAATTAAAGAAAAAAATTTTAAAAAGTGAAAAAAAAAAAATTAAAAATTTTTAAAAATGTTAAAAAAACTATAAACAAAAGACCCACCAAAATACACCAATCTGTTTCTTTTTTCCCCATAATTGAATAAACATGAAACAAAGTTGAATAAACAAGAAAAAAGGCCTTACCAGTTTTTTTATCTAAAACTTGTTAGGAAAAATCAGTTTTTCTTTTTGTTAAGTTTTAAAAACATTGTCATTGTAAGTTTTTCTTGCAGTTTCATTTAGATTTTTAATTAAACTTTAAGTGATACTAGAGCATCAACAGCAGCAACAAATTTTCTAATCTGAAGTCATGTCATTGGCATGAGGAAAAATTATTATTTTTTTAAAATTTAAGCCTAAGTTTCATATCAACATTATTTTCTTTTTCTTTCATTGGCTGCTAAAATGCTCTTGTCTTTTAAATAATAAAATTGTAATTTCTATCATATTTTCTTTTCAATATATTTGAAAAGTGAAAATGTTCAGGTTAACTATGAAAATGTTTCATGGTTAACTATACATGTTATACACAAAAATAGCCATACGCTGACAATTACAGGAGCTTTTAAGAATATTTCAAATGTTTGGTGATTGAAAGCAGCCACAATCAAGCGAATTGTTTCCAGTGGACTCTTGATACATTTGATGGAATGCTTGAAATGAAGTTAAGTGAATAAACTGGGATTGAAAACCATGAAGATTTGTTCTTCACTTGTTAAATTTCATTTCAATAACTTGTGCTTCCCTAACATCATTATTCCTTAAGTTATGGGATTAAAAGAATTTAATTAGAAATGATTTAAAATATGGTGTGGATTTATTTTGTAAATTTAACAGATCAACCTGAAATTATTAAAGGAATAGAAGTGAAGACAATTATGTTGCTGGATCCTGTGGGAAATTTCTAAGTTGTTTTTTTTTTTTTTTTTTAAATATTTGTATATACAGTAACAGCTTGTTTGACTTTCCTTTTAAATTAAAAAAAAAGTTGCTCAAACTACTCAACTCCTTCATCGTTTTGGTTGATCCAGTGTCCAGCCATTTTTTTTTTTTTTTTTTTTTTTGATCATTCATAAGGAAAGAGGTGTAGAAAATATCACATTCCCAGAAATGCAAACTGCACAAGTAAATTGATTCTTAATCTGTATAACACAGATGATTCTTATACTTGGAGGACAATCTTCAGTTTGTGTTTTTTTTTATAAACTGAATAAAAACAAAAAACAATCTAAACTGACCTGACTTATACATTGAAAAAAAAAAGTGTCAGGGCAGTGTGGGTGCACATATACAATCTGTGCAAAGTTAGCTAATATATTTGTCACTTTCTTTTTACTCCTGGAAAAATGAGCCCCCTCCCTTTAATGAATTATTATAGAATTGATCATCCAAAATAGTGTACTAATACCAAAAATAAATCAAATAACAAATCTTTTTGCAAGCAGAATACCAAATATATTATTTAATTTACTGAAATCATTTTCTTATTATCTTTATATTGTGGTTAAGATTTGATTTTTATTTCATGTTGAGCTGGATATCAGAAAAATAACTTACCAGAAACTTTGGGTAAGGATTGTTACAAATTAGTATTACTTAAGGCATTTTATCCTCTCATCTTAATATAGTTACTTGATTGCCCCTTTTGGGTTTGTTTATTAACCCTAACATTAAAATGTGCCTTTTATCCTCAGTGAGTATAACTCAAAAGTGTCACATGGCACAGGTGGTGTTATAGTTATTAAAGAGAGAAAGAGAAAAAAAAAATTCCTGCTCAAGTTTTTACCAGTTTTATTTTTTCAATATTGATGATTTTAATATCTAATTCATTGTCAATACTTGGATGACTACCTTAAAGCTTTTCATTTTGGATCTTGTCTATATAGTGTCTGTGTGTGTGCGCGCGCGCGCATGGTACTTATTGGAAAGTGCTCAATATCAGCGATAGAGCTAACATATTTAGTTGTATGAATATGAGTGTGAAACCCAGGTTTACAAACTCTTATCCATACAACTAATATATATATATATATTAAAGTCAACTTTGTTTGCATTGTAATTTTAAAATTCAAAAAATGTTAAAAAATTTTTTTTTAATGGCAAAATACATTAAAGTTTTATAAACATATCTCAACCCTTTTTAGATAGACTGGTCAGACAATATACATGTGGTTATTTTATTGCATTTGGTTTCCATAATGCTTGCCAAAACCAAATATCCATATACCAAAATGATATTCATGTATTAACTTGTATAAGTAGCTCACAAATTGAATTTAAATTTGAGTTAACTTCAAACTGGTTAAATTAAGTTTGGAAAAAAGGATCATTAAATCTCCATTTATTTCAATATAATTTTCAATTTCTAATTGTGAAATGAGAATAATTTAGACTTTACATCATTCATCTTATTTCATGTCCTTTATTAAAGTTTTAAAACAAATTAAAAATTAATTAGTTCAAGGGGGAAAATGCCCAATAAACAAAACTCAAAAATGACTTTTGCAGAAGTTTAATAAAATGAAATAATATATGTATATATAAAATAATCTTGTAATAGTTTTAAATTGTAAAATGCATTTGAGAATATAAAATATTCCTAGTCAACAATGGCAATTGACACAATGTTGTCACCTCTGATGAAAAGTTGGTTGACATGTCGATAACAAACTTTAGTTTTAAGTCTATTGTACACCAAACATGGTTCTATCACAGATGAGAGACAGTGCTTACTAAAATGTTTAGGTTCTTGATCCTGATTGTTCGTGACAGCACCTTTTTCTTGCCAAAAATGTTTTTCTTTTATTTCCAACTGGAATTTTGTATCATCTTTGTCTGTATCTGACCCTGAATTTTCTGTTGTGTCTTCTTCCCAGTCAGAATTGGGAGGACTATCCGATGGAATAATAGGAACCATCTTAAAAGAAAAAGAATTTAGATTTATTTTAATAGAAAAAAATAAGTGAGCAAAATTGTTTAATGTATAAGAGTCAAGTGTTTGTGAAAAATTAGATTTTTTTTTTGTTTTTAAAGTTCACTAGAATTGATCTCAAAACCAACTCTGATAGTTTCAAACCCATTTTAAATCATGTACTGATTGTAGTTATAACAGTTCATTAATGTTTAACAAATTGTGTTCCAGTAAATTACTAGAGTTTAACAAGTTTAAAGGCTGGCAGATTCTTGTAGAGAAAGTATTCCATATTAAAAATAGAGCAACAATAATTAATATATAAAAAGTTCAAAAGCCTTTTTTCCAACTTCAAGTATTGCAGATAAACTGCAAAATAGATAAATCACTCATCAGAGTCAAATCTACTTGTTTGACTTTAAGTTAGAAAGAGAAGTCTTGAATTTTTCTTATTTATTGATTATAAATGAAGAGAAAGAAGTTTTGTGATGTCCTTATGGCAATTTATAGTGAGATATACAGTAAAAGACAATATTGTTTTCATGGGCTTGTTTAAGCTGTTAAAATTATGATTTAACTTGTATAAAATTCTTTGTAATAGCTTTCACAGATATACATGCCCAGTCTAGGTAAGCAAATAAGAATGTACACAAGACTAGTTTTTAAAGAATTGATATTTTGAAGCTTTGCCTAAAACCAATTAGCAAATATTAGTTTTCTAATATTTTAGCCCTTTCTTTTTTTTTTTTTTTCAAACACCCTCCATATGGAAAGCTCAGGTTAATGATGGACACATTAATAACACAAAAATGTGTTAAGAGATATTGAAAAATATTAGAATAATATAAATGCATTGCTATTTAGGAAGAGAGATACTTTTATTTCCAACCATTTCTTTTGACTGACTTTGATATATATCATCCCACCATGAAGAACTCATTGCTGTATTACAAAGTTAATTCTAGATGTACAAATGCTTTATCTAAAAAAAAAAAAAACTGGTAAAAAATAATTGTATAACATCTTAAATCAGTAAATATTTCAAACTTCATATAAATATCATTTGATTCTGATGAAATCTGAATAAAATACTGAAATTTGATAAAATTTATGACTCCTGTACACAAAACTGATCTGCATTTCAACTAACAAACAAATGGTACATACTAATTTAATTATTTTATATGCAAGCAGAAGAATTAACTTTGAAATAATAGTTACCATAATAGGTTTTTTATTCTTTTTTGGAAAGATTGGTTTTCGATAGGTTTCATCGACATCTATCATGGCCTGTGAAAAAAAATAAAGAAATGAATATTCAATCCATCAATCAATCATAAAAGTTGCAAAGACAAACTGAGATGAGTGAAATTAAAACTGATTTGAATACTGTTATTTGCTTTACAAATTATTCACAGAGAAAGAACTGGAATTTATTTTTGTCAGTATTTGATCCTTTCCATCCATGTAAGAATCAGATTTGAAATAAGTAGATTTATTAATACATTTTATAGTACATCTTTTGCAACAAAGCACAAAGTTAGTCAAACTTTGATAACACAGAAAAATTATTTTTAGTAGAAGTTTACAAGTTTAATATTCCTTAATTTTACAAGGCAATATTCTTTGTGAAAGGTCAAACTATTTTGCAGTTCCTCTGCTTGAAGTCATTTAATTACATTTTGATAAGCCCAACAAACAATAATAACAATCTTCGATTTTGAGATTTGGTTGGTTGGTTGGTTGGTTGATTTTATATCTCAGCCCTTTGGTTATTTAATGTTGGATTTTGTATGTCTCCACCCCTCCAGTGAAGCTCAAACCCAAAACTGCAATAACTAAACTAGCCTCACTAATTATCCCATGCTGAAACCCCTGGAAGCTTTGTGCTGAATCATTTAAAGATTACATTTTTAGATAGAAAAAGAATTTATAAGAGTTTTATACATAAGTTAACTCTTGACAGAAAGAGAAATGTCTGGTGTGAATTTTAATGCCAATATCATATACATACAAACAAAGCAGACTAACAATATTTGCTGTATAAATGGGCAATAGCAGAGATCAACTTTAAATCTTGCAAAGGCTCAAATGTAATTTCCATAAAAATTATAACATTTAAGCAAAGGTGTGAACATTTTAACTTGACTAAAATCTCTTGATTTTATATTACTCTAGGGACCGTTATAAAGCCAAAATGTTGAAGTTAAAGAAAAATTGTACTTCTCTTAAGAAATACATATTTCAAGTTATTCAAATAATGCTTTTGTTAAAAATCTTCAGTAGAAAGTTAAGAGTGAAGTCTGGTTTGACTATGGTCATTGCACACACACACACACACACACACACACACACACACACACAGCCCTACCTCTATCTGAATGTGATTACTGTAAAGAAAAAAGACAAGGCATTAAAACAATGAGCAACTGACCATATTAAAATATTTGTCATAAGCAACAATATAGCCTTGACAAAAACCTCTGATGTATGCTGCACTTCGGGTCCATACTTTAACACGAAGCTGTTCAAAGACACTTCTCCTAAGCAATGACATTGGGCCCGTTTGATCTTTCTCTGAAAGAATAAAATGAGAAAATAATTTAATCCAAGTTGCGATATGACAACATTAACTTGATAAAAGACTATTTTATTGACAATTAGAAGCATCCGTGATGAATATTCATAGAAACAAACAGGTATTAAGTTCAGTATTTCAAATTCTGTATATCAGACTGATTTACCTCCCTTGTATAATATAAGTTTTTTTTTATTATTCATATTCTGAGTTTTTAGAAAAACCAACTTAGAGCTTGAATATCGTTGAAATATTGACTTATATTTAAAATGTTCCCCCCCCCTTCCCGAAAAAGAAAAATGTTAAATCATATTGCATGATTTTTAAATACAAACAGGACTCTGCATAAATTTATTTAAAAAATAATACGTGTTACTGTTAAGGGAGGTAAATCAATGTTTTGCATGGATATTTCGTTTAATGCCAGACTAAAAGCAAAGATTTGCAAGGTATTCTGTATGATTAAGCAGTTGCAAACATGGAATGAAATCCAAGAATTTGGCAAAATTTAGAAAGTTTGCCAAATTTGTTGGCACAGAGTAAAAGAGGAAGACATCTTTAGCCGATTGAAGCTTCCCCCCCCCCAAAAAAAACAGACGTACAATAATTATTAAATTGTACGTCTGTTTTTTTTTTTTTATTAAATTTTAATAACTGAGTGATCCCAGCCAGATTTCCAATTTTGATGTTTCAAAAACCTCAACTTGTAGAATAACAAACGTTATGGGTTAAAAAATATTTTTAAAAAATGCAGGCAAAATTAGTCTTCAATGCACTAAAGTCAGAATTATCCGCTACAAGCAAACACTGACAATATCTTCACACGTCGATATTCTCTGGAATTCGAGTGAGAAAAAGTTTTTTTTTTTTTTACTGCTATTCGTGTTTGTATTAAGAAGAAAACAAACAAAATATAGCAACAAAAAAGGTACAATTTATGTGGAGATATGTAAGGATGATAACGGTTGACCCAAGACTTGAACAGGTTTAAGACAAGAAGAGTTTAGTGATCGGGGAGACAGTATTTTGGGGGGAAATCATTAGGAGGCACGCTAGAGTAATGGACAGCAGCTCGAATTGAAGAATCAGAGAGCAGAGTTCGAAGTCCAGCTAAAAATCCATTACTTTCACTTGTGCTAATTAATACTTTGGGAAAGGTATTAATCCTTTTCTTTTCCCCCCAGCTATGGGTAAATAGCAGAACAGACCAGGTTCTATAGACTTGGATGGCAACTGGTCTACCTCAGAAAGAAATAGCAACCTATTGCGGGAAAAAAACCCTGCCTAGTCGGTCATGTATCGAAAGATACATGATCGCCTAAGCGTGTATCACGCATGTCACATAACTGACTGAATAAATAATTCTAACTTTTATAAAAGATTATTTTAAGTGTAGTAAACTTAAACAATATCAGTTTCTTTCTAAACTGTAGTTTATAGTATTTTTCGATGTACTTTTAAAGATTTTACACGCGCTTTGGGGTGACAGTAGAAAACTACTATTTATGACCTATGACCTTGATGAAAGGCTCTTGGTCTACAATGCTATCAAACTTTATTTACATACATTTTCTTTTTTTGCGGATTAGCTTCTTTTTTTTTTTGTTTTGTTTTTACTTTTTAGAATTAATTTAACTTCGCAGAAGACAATGCGGTTTTTTTTTAAGGAAGTCCAAGATGGTAACTAAATATTACCTTCCATCCTTATGAGGAAATTTCTTTTATGTCGTTTGGAAACTTTAACTTCTCTTTCAGCCGGTGGAGGTGGAGCATTTTTCGGTCGAGGTGCAGGGACCGGGCCCTTGGTTTGGGGAAGTTCTTTCGATGCTTGTTCCTTCCTTGCTTTCTTTTTGCCACTGACCAACGAATGATATTCAGCAAGATTGTTAAGTGGCTGGATATTTGGATATGGTACGGGTACATTACCTAGTTTTAGAACTTTAAGTGCGTTAAAATTAGAAGAATCGAATTTTAATTCATCCTCCTCTTCATCCTTGGATTTTTCCGCCATGCTGATTGTAAATCATGCTACTTAAGTTAAGAATTATTAGCCACTGCTTCGCATTCCTGCTACAATTGAAATAAATAATGTTTTTATTTAACAAACCATAGATTTAAATGTGAATATCATCTATCCATTAATTTTAACATTGTGATTTTCTAAATGTTTTTATTTGATTTATAATTAATATCTGTTTTTGTGATCGCAAACGTAGTACAAAAATATTTTCATAAATTCATGATAAATTTTAAGTGCAAAATGATTTTACGAAAATAAAATAATTAATTTGTTTTGCGTTGTCATGACAACCAAACAATAACAACGTGGACAGGGTGCGATTTTATTTTATTTTCGCAGTTTTTGAGGAACGATGAACCTAATGCCGCCTCCAAAAAGAGACAAGAAAAGCGTTACTCCACAACCTCAGGAAGCACGTATAGAAGATAAACCACCAGCAGAATTGTCAGAAAAAGAAACTATCTTAACCAATCAGTAAGTGATGTTCTGAGTTCAATTCTTCTTAATTACCCTCCGTCTCTTGGATTTTTTTGTTGCGCTCTTAAATGTTTTGTTTTTCTGAAACATTTATTTACTAATTAATTTTAATTTAAAAAATTAGTCAAGAAAAATTGTTTCAAAAATTTTGAAACCACTTCTTGATTAATTTTGTTCGTCTTTAGTTTTATTAAATTTTCTTCGCTGCCCCAACCATATTATTGTTGTTGTTTGGTTGTTTCTTCGTCTTTATTGTCCTCTGAACAAAATAAATATAGATTAAAATATGAATAAAATAAAAATCAAATAAAAAAAAAAATATTAATTCGATTTTGAGTTGGCCCCGTGAAAATTCCACGAGTGTTGACAATATTTATTTATTCATTATCACATGATTCACATGACTCCTCCTCCTGTCTCTCTCTCTCTCTCTCTCTCTCTCTTTTTTTATTGATTTTATTAGTTTCATATGCAAAAAATAAAAGAAAAGAAAAAAACTGCACAAATATTTTTCTACAGTAAATGTTTATTTTAACATCCGAGCGCTAATATCCCTTCAAATTTTTCCAAAATAGTCTTATTTCCGTGCAAATGTATATTCTGAACTCAAATCAGCAATTATTAGATATTGAAGAAACCTACCTTTTTTGGATGTTAACGACCCGAAAAAAATTGGAGTTTTCCTGGTCTTTCATCAGCCATTACCGGCTAATTGATAAGTAATACAGTGCTGAATTTTGTTGGTGAACATATATAATTTGGGCCTATTTATTTCCTTCACAGTAATTCCTTGTAGAAATTAGTACGCGCTTTCGTAAAGCGATTTTTTTTGTACTTAATTTAAGAAGAAAGTTAACTTTCAACAAACATCGACAAATAAAAGGATAACAAAGTAATTTTTTTTAAGAAAGTTAACTTTCAAATTAGGGTTAGGTGTTTTTTTTTCTTTTGTTATTCTTTTATTTGTCGATGTTTACATATATTTCTTAAATTAAGTAAAAAAAAATCGCTAATTTCTGAAAGAAAATAGTTCAGCAGTGAATGACGCTCGGGTGTTAAAAATTAAAATGAAAATTTACCTCTTCTGCTGCTTCCTCTTCTACCTAGCAAGTTTGTTTAACTGTTTGTTTTTGTTAAATTTATGTCTTTCTTTCGTTTCCGCCATTCCCACCTTCCATCTACCTATCTATCTGCAATAGATTTTTATTTTTTATCTAATTGACCAATTCCAGAGTTTTAGCTCGTTGTCACTGAACCTGATAAATCATAAAAAAAAAACTAGCCATGATGAGCGTTTTTACACGAAATTCTGAATTTAGTCAATGAGATAAGTTCCTTGAACTTTTATTAATTCATTTATAAACTATTTTTTTTACAATGATGTTCACCCTGTACAAAGCCCAAGAGCCACTCGATGTAGAGGATTACAGAGTAAGAGACACCACAAGCAAGGTGATAATGCCACCAAGGTGCATGTGGTTACCAAAACGGAAAGAGAAGGAAAATACTTTACAAGGAACCTGAAACCCAATCCTAAACAGGAAACAAGGGATAATCCACTACTACTGTAAAAAAGACGGGGGAGGAGTGTGAACCGGATGATAGGTGAACTAACTAATGTAATCCTATTGATGAAAAAAAAGTAAATAAATAGTAAATAAAATTTGTTGCTGTAGTTATCCATTGTGTAAATGTAGAAAAAAAATCCTGTATTTTTTATGTATTTTGATAGGTGTCATTAATTTGTTTTATTTGTTTTTTTTCTTTTTAGTTATTTTTTTTTCACCATTCTTATCTTGTACTGCTTGTTTGAGAAGAAAAACTTTAAAAATCTGTATACATTAAGATTATAGCAGACACATAAAACATATTCTATTAATTAATCAGCTTCAGACAAAATAAAACTCTTTTTCTTGAAAATTATTAATAAGATATGATATCCACACTGAGTGGATACTAACCTTAAATAAAATTTACTTAGCTTATGAAAAAAGCTAAAAATTAAACATCATTTAAAACATGTATAAAATTATTTAACTTCAAATTCTCAGCTTTTAAGCATGTATAGTTATTAATCTATGAGATAGTCTGAGTAGCAGTTGGATGTAACAGTCCAAGTCATTAAAAAAATCTTCCTGTGTCTAGTCTATTTCCTGTTGTATGAAAACTGTCTTCATGAGAAGAAACTGAACTAAAAAAGAAACAATTTTGTAAAGCAACAATTTCTGGATTATAAAAATTTTGAATTTTCACTTTATCTATTAAAATTTATATAATGAGAATATGTAAAATTTTGTTAAAAAAAGGATAAATACAAAAATAAACCAGTTTGTAAATATTTCATGTATAAAATTGGATGTTGTAAATTGTAAAAAAAAATGCCAAAATGAAGCCTAATAGTTTATAAAACAAATACATGAGTAAAATTAGGTTTACAAAATTTGTAAAAAAAAAAAAAATAAATAAATAAAAAAGCTCTAGTCTGAAGGTCTCATAACCTATATGCAAACATGGTTTAAAGAGATATTTTTGTGCTTTTTTTTTTTTTTTTTTTTTTTTGACCTGTTGGGAAAATAATTGAAAATAGTATTCAATTTCTGGTTCAATTTGGAGCTAATTTGTGTCTATTTATAATGCCTGGTTTGTCTGAGTGACAGAAGGGTTTTGGCATTCACAGACAAAGATGTTGGCTGGTTCTGGTAGCTGAACTTAGAAGAAAGAAGCAGAAAGAAGATTCTAAAAATTTAGAGAGATATATGATTATCTTTCTGTAGTTATTTGTGAAGGTGTATCACAAAAATTAGAGATATTAACTCTAATTTTGAACTTATTAAAATACAAGATTTATCTTATTTTTGAATCTCAGTTTGTAAAACTGAACTATTGTCTAATAAGAAAACAAACTGGTGACACCAGTGAAATGTCATCCTTCTCAACTCCTTTTGACTGTTGAATCTTTGAAAGTGAATATTTTGTTGATAATAATTGATTTTTTTTATGAACCCAACAAAATTGTATATAGAATTGTTATCTTGCCTAAGTATTTGGCATACAAATGAAAATTTTGTACAAGCTTGTTTCTATTCTATGCTATCATTATTTTTATGTCATTTAATAAATGTAAATTTCTTTCAAACTTCATACCAGGTTTTGTTTTTTCATTTGCACCATTCAAAATACTTGGAATAAAAGAGTTGACTTTCTTTCTTCTCCTCCTCCCTCAATAAATCCTTTTATATCTGCCTTCTTTTTTTTTACTTTCCATTTTCTTTGTGGATGAGTTGAATAATTTTACAAGGTCAAATTTTCACACCCTCAAACTTTCACAACCACCTAACTGTTTGCCTTCACACTATTTTCCCTCTTACTTCTGTTCTTTGATTTTCCCAATTCCTTCTTGTTGAATATTTATGTGAGTTTCAGAATGAATCAGAAACTGCAACATTTCATTTCAGATGGACTAAGATCAGGTAAATACAATACTCTGATTGTAGGAAAACATAAAAATGATATATACTAACTAGTAGAATATCATTGGATCAATAATTTTGTGGAACTGATTCATTATCAGCAGAATGTCAGGTAAACAGTAAATACTTTTGACCAAACAATAATTTTAATGTAAAAGATAACAAAAATGATAAACCAACACTGCAAATCAAACTTTCTCTCCTAATTAGAACTCATTATAAAATAATCATAAAAATAAATCTTTTATTTTTACAGTCTGGAAGAAATCACAAATGAGCTTGAAAGGTGTCGAGTCAGAGTTACAGAATTGTATCCTTTTGCTTTACTAGAATTTTTGTTGTTGAAATTCTCAATGTTTAGTATTGTTGAATTTATCACTAACATGTTTTATCAAGATTTATAAATTCTATGTTTTGTTCAATTTTGCAAACCAATCTATTCGCAATTTCCAATGTCAACCTTTATTGGTGGTAACCAAATATTTACCCCTGTCATGGGTTCTAGATAGCAGTAGCCAATTATGTCACCCAGTCATTGGTCCTCAAGTTCCTTCAGACCATCATGGTTACCATTTAGCTTATTCTTCACTCATTAAGGCATGACTCATTTTGTCACTGGTATCATGTTCCACTTGACTTAGCTAACGTTTGTCTGTTCACGACAATTCACTCCTCTGCCATGTTGTGTTTTTGGTCTCAGAGGGTGAGAAGATCGTTGCTGAAGCAAACTTGAAGTGGAGATGGTTCGACAATTTGGGAGCTACACAAAAAACAAGAATCCTTCATAATAAAGAATTAACTCTGGTTAAAAATATAACAACAATTTGGTTTATATATGGTTTGTTTTATACAGCAGTTTTAACCCTTCTCACTTGTTGTTATAATCAAATGATACTGGAATCCCCTTTGGAGTTTGCAGATTGTTTTATTAGTAACTTAAATTTCTAAGTTTTGGTCTTCAGGTCTGGCAAAAGGTCTTTGGTCAGGAGGTCTCCATGAACGATGCAGATTCCAATATGTCTCTCTTCTTGTGTCTCCTGTCCTTCCGTTCTCTTAACTGTCTTTGAGTCCAAAATATCCAGCTTATATGGAGTCCTGTGTTTGGCGCAAGTGGGGTTGACTAGGGTCTGGGTTCAGTTGTCTTCTACCTTAAGTATCAACCTTTTCTAAATTTCCATATATAAAATTACATTTACTCAAATGTTTTTCCAAATTAAATCATCCCTTAACTACTACTCTCTTTGCACTTCACCTTATACCATTGCTCTATGTAGACAGTGCTAATCTATCTCTCTCTCTCTCTCTCCTCTTTCTTCTTTCTTCTTTTCTTCTTTCTCTCACTTTTTCAACAGCCAACTTCAGCTCGGCTTCCTGGGGCTGGAATGATAAATCCAACTTCTAGATGGCGCAGTGAAAGCAAAATGGATTTTCAGTTATTAGTCCTTATCTATCAGCTTGTCCCATTCTGTGATTTCTCAATTGACCAGACCACTCAAGAATTGGAAAAGGAAAAAAATTATTTCCACTCTCCTTTTCTCTGTCTATGCATTTTTATGATCAACAGACTACATAGCCTTTTTTGTCCATGGTCACTTCAAAATAGTAATCAATTTTTTTTTCTCACCACTTGTATCCAAGAGAATCCAAATTGATGTTTCAATATAAAACTTTCTCTGGACAAATGTCATCGAAATTATAATGACGAACATGTGGGGTTCCTTTCTTGTGGGTGGTTGATTCAAAACAGGTTTTTATTTTATCTGACCCAGGGGAATCATGAATGACTACCCAGATTTCTCTATCGACAACATATGTTTTTATTTTATCTGATATCTTTGTAGATACCTTAATGAATACCTAATGATCTCTTTCTTATTGGTGGGATATGGGGAAGGACAGGCAGTTTTGGGTTTGTTCAATCTTACTGAATTTTGTCTAGTTAAGTCTGTATTCGATTCTCTTTGGAATTATCTCAAAACATGATTTTTTAACACATTTCATTTTTAATTTTCTTCTCAACTTTTCAATCCAACTTCCTGCAATTTCAACAATTATCATCCAGTTAGTAGACTCTCTCCTATTTCTTCTTTCTTTCTCTTTTTGTTTGATCAACCGCTGGAGATCTCACTGTCACAATCAATGAAATTTAAATAAGCTGTACTAAGCTATGCAACCTAGTAAAACCAAATCAAATATACTTTGTACTCTCTTACCTGGTTGTACTTCTCAAAATTTGGTTTTGATTGGTCAATGTATAGCTATTTTAGATGGTGTGAAGACGGACAGAAGTCACAGAATTTTATATATAGATTTCTACTTTTATAACTTGCTTGTTCTTGGACTGAATTGCGTTTTTTATGAAATAGAAATTTTGATTGATTGATATTTTATGGCTTAACTTTTTGCAGGTTATTTAAAGTCAGAAGATATTTTTTGATTGTAAGAAATTGGTTGGTATAATAATGATATAAGTTTTACTAATTAACAATTATAACAATTAACTAATTAACTGGGGGAGAGGAGGTGAATTCATATATTTCCCAAGAGTATTTGCATGTAAATGAATATAACAAACCCAAGTGGAATTGGAATTTGGCTCTCTGATTTCCAATTCTGAGTCTCTATCTATTACACCACCTGCACATTCAAGGTTACAACACTTAATATTCCTAAGCGGTCACCCATCCAGCTATTTACCAGGCTTGATGTTGCTTAACTGTGGTGATCATATGACAACTGGTGTTTAAATATGCTATGGCCATAAGCCGGTGATATAAAGTAGAACAGGCAGCTGAAATAGAGAAAGAAAATATGGAAATAGAAAATATTAATTGAATTATTCAATATGAATTGTCTCTTTCAAGGCATTTCACAAAGGCAAGAGAAAAATATATTGTTTTATATTTTAAAGAGCTTTCTCAACTGTTACAAAATCTCAAGTTGAATGTCTTTGTGGTATTCATCAATACAAATGAATTGATTGCTGATCAGGACCCAAAACATACAAATATACAAGTATTTTTCATACACAGAAATTAATTGAATTTTCTTTTCTTTTCATTGGAGAATTTGATAGAGATTCACACTGATTAAAGTTTATTGCTGATTGTTTTTGCTCCCATGACTCCAATAGCATTTTGAAACTCAGGTGAATGACCTTTTACATTCAGTCCAATAAAATTATCTTTGTTTAATTTCTTTCTGAGGTGTAGAAATGTATAAATATGCCTCTCTAATTATTTATTTTTTTTATTTTAACATCATAGAAAATATTCCTTAACAACTGTTTTAGACAAAATTTCAATAAATGGTTGGAAGATGAAGCGACCAAAACTCGAATTGAAAGTGTAAGTCAAATATTTAAATTAATCAACTTCAACCTAAAAGTGATTCAATGTGCAAATTTCATGAAATAATAGACAGTTTTTATGTTCATGATAATAATAATAATGTTTATAGCAAACTTTAAGCTGTCTCATACAAATTGTTTGTTGAATCATGTTGAGTACTGAAATTCAAAGAAAACAAATTCTTGCAATTGCTACTTCTGAAGTGAAACATATTTGAATATATTTGAATTTGAATGAGTATCTGTTGATTTTGCTCCAATATTAAGTGAATATGACAACCAGTGAATAGACATAACTATTTAAAGTCAACACCGCTTCATTGTTCCTTTTTTCTTTAAACATAAATTGGTAGGGCCAGATTTACATATGGGCTATTATAGGCTGCTGCTAGACTAAAGGGGCCTTCAAGAGGCCTCTAGTCTTGGGCCCCTCATAAACTAAAATAAATTAAAGATATTTGTTTATTTTCAGATTTAATGGGACAGCTTTGAACTAATTTGAAACCATTTAGAATATTTGGGCCCCTCAAGTTGGAGTGGGTCTTTTAAATTTGATGAGGCCCCTTGAAGGATATAAAGTTTGGATAAAAAAAAATATCATGAAGTAGCCAATGAAATAAATTGGATAAATTCCAAAATCATTAAAAATTTTAGTTGAGGTGTTTCATGTTTTACACCAAAAAAGCATCATCTAAAAATATATTATTTTTTTTTTTTAATAGATGGGAGGAGGGGGGCATACATAATTCTATTAGGCTAGGGGCTACTTAAGACCTAAATCAGCCAGCCCTGTATATTTGTGTTTATCAAGTAGAATTACCATACTTAATGTTATTTTTAAAAATAATATACTATCTTCTTCTTTGTAAAGGAATATTTGGATAAAGAAATAATATAAATTTTATTTCTATAATTAAGTCCAATGAGAAAAAAATTTATTACTATAATTAAGTCCTATGAGAAAAAAGTGCAAATTTTTATAATTAAATCCTATGAGAAAATTAGTCTCTATGTAACTGAGTCTAATTTTGTATATCTGTATATAAGCAATATGCTACATTGTAGCCAGAGAAATGCAATTAAGGTATCCTTAAAATATACTAACTTAAAGAATGCAGCACAAACTAAATAATTTGTAAGTGAATGATTGTGGAGTCTGCATTTGTGGGGGGGGGAAAAGAAAGATGTTTTTTAGTGAAATAATTATGAAATGCTAATTATAGAATATCATTCTGTATTTATTTATTTTCTCATTTGTAGTTGGAGCATGGCTGAGGGGTTAGAAAATTAGCATTCGGACCATAGACATAGGTTTGAATCTCACAATGGTTGATTTGTCACACTTCTTGAAAATATCAGAGGTTGATCCAAGCCTTGTGAGCAAAACTAGGTAAATGGAACTTTTCGGAGACCATTGATAGTTATGCTAGCATGTAGTCAGAATGACTGACGATTTGAGTGTACTGTCATTGTTCAAACTTTTGATCATACCAGATTATGCTCACTCTCCCAGAAACTCTAACTAAGGTCCACTCAGCATAGTTATAGTATAAATCACAGACACTGAGCAGGCACTTGCAATGGAGATTAGCTTGCTGTCCTAGCAGACAAGCATATTTGGATACAAACAACAAGCAATATTTATTTGTATACACACTCAAGTCCCATAGACTCTCTGAGGAGAATGGGCCTACAACTTTCAAGTCCCATAGATTCCCTAAGGAATATGGGACCACAGCTTTTAGCATGTTAGGCATTGTTGCTTTGGTTTACAAAGCATATGGTAGGTTTTTATAGGATGAAGTTACTAGCCCCATGTTCAGTTGGTTTTTAATTTAAGGTTGTCCTCCTAGACAGCTTTCCAACCAAGGCTAAAGAACCTAGTCTCTCCTATTATTTAATCCATAGTTGGGGAAAGAAAAGATGGAGTCATACCTTTCCTAAGGGTATTTGAATATTAGTGAATGCATTGAACTTGACTGGAATTTGATCTTGGCTCTTCGATTTCTCATTCCAAGCTGCTATTTTATTTCAGCATGAATATATGAATTATATGGGTAAAAAGACCAACAAGAGACAAATGGCCATAATCACATTGAGTGACCACAACAAAGAGATCATCAAGAATATTAAAGAAGAAAAGAAACAAATGGAAGAAGAATATGAAGAGAAGAAAAAAGGTAACAAATTTAGGCTTTGAATTGCTGGAAAAATTTAACCTGGGTACATGCATGTTTTCTGTTCAATAAATGAGTTTTCTTGTACTTCAGTCTTTGTATAAATTCTACACAAATGTTGATTGAAAATAGAAGTGCTTTCTTAAAGAATATGTTCAAGACTATAAATATACAGTGGTTCCTTGCTTATCCATAATGGATATGTTCCAAGACCTCAAAGCTATCAAAATTTGAGTTATCAAATGACTAGTATTTTGAGCTTTTCTCCTTATTTATATTTGTGACTAAAAGACATGAATAGAAAAAATAGTAGTGTACTAAACAGTAACTGTAATAAATATAATATGGTCCCTACTGCTGTTGTTGTTTGTTTTCATTTCATTTTGCTGACCTGTTGTTTCTTGGTCAAAAACGAGTATTCTTGGCATTGTCACTTGGTGGTGGTGGTGGTGGTTTTGATTTTCCTGAGCATCACATGTCAACATCAGTAAACTGGGATGTAATCAGATTTTACAGGAATTTCACCAGTCATTGTGATTCTACAGAGATTTCAGGAGTGAAATCCTTGCATCTGTGGTAACTTCTTTGCTGAAAACTAATTTCAAGGCAAAAACCAACAAACGCTTGAGATCTAACAATGGGTTCAATGATAATAAATTGAAGAATTTAAAAATATATAAGGAATAAAGAATTATTAATCTTTCTATATGGCCTGGAGTTTCAGCAGGAAAATTATTCTTGCAGTAATTTATATCTCTGTTCATCTCTCTGGGTATTGGCTGGTTTATATAAGAATTTCACAAACCTCTGGCATTGATTTATTGCATGTTTTTTAATAAGATATTATGACCTTTCTTTGTCTGAAAATAGATGGCCTCTCATGGAATACATTTATTTCAAAACCCCTAACATAATACATATGCGTTTGTGGGGTTTGATACTACTTTAAATAAACATAGTGAGAATTTTTCTTTGGAATTTGTGAAATTCTAGAAGATCATAAAACATTGTTATACTGCCCCAGAGGCAACTGGGTAAGTTGGGAGGATCTAATCATACTAATTCTTAACGAATTAAACTTGATTTATTTCAGGTTCAAATCCTATTAGGGTCTTCTCCAAACTCATTTTATGGCTTCTAATTATTATTTTTAATTCATTCTGTCTTTCCCTTTTCTTCTTGATGCTTAATTAGATTCTCTGAGTTTTTTCAGTTTAATCTTGATTATTTTCTGCTTAAAATCATCATTCACATGCAGTAAGATGTTGAACTGGGGTTATCACTCTGTTGTATAAACAAGTTCGAAAATCAGCTCAGTATGTTGTACATTACTTTGGTTTACAACCTGTAAATAAAGCACAAGTAAATTTTTATTTATTTTGATTCATTTTGAAGAAAGAGAATACAATCATGATCATTTTTTGTACTATGTGGTATACTTACTTGTTCGATTTTTTTATGGTCATAAGTCTGGAGATTGTTAAACAGGTAATTGTTAAAGGAAGAGTAACTGCAGACATGGTTTGCTATTAACCATAGATTTCATCATTCAGTGAGTTTTTTCTTTTTTTTTTTTTTTCCAGATCTGGAAACAATTCTTTTAGGAAAGCAACATGTCCTTGTAAAAACCAAGCAACAAATGAATGAACTGAATGAATGCAAAGTAAGAATTCTGGTTATGAATCATTGCAGTTTCATTAGAAGATTTATCATTATTCTTTTAGCCTTAGAGAAATATTCTATATCTAGAATATCTATCTATATCTATCTTTTTATTTCGCTAGTACTGTTGACAGTTGTAAACATGTGATTAGTATGACATTGGCAGGGAAAGTGGAATCAATCAGTAGAGTTCAAATTCACTTGGCACTAATACCCTTAAGAAAGAAAAGAAAAACTGAAATTCAAAAACAGTAAAGCATACAAGGATGGCATTGCTTACATTATTGTTGAGTTTGGTCATTCACTGCAACAGATCCTCTACATTTTCCACCTTGCTGCTCAATCTTGGAGGAGATGTCAAGAGGATGGGTGTGGAACTCATCACAAAACACATCCACTCCTATACATGTTGTTCTTTGAAAGGAGCCATCATCACCCTTCAAGATGGAGAGTGATGACTATTGACTTGAATATTTTAGTTAATTTTGTCGTTTCTACTCAGAGATTAAATTTATTTCATTATTCAGAAGATGGAAATTGATGCAGTGTTACTTCTAGTTGGGCTAAAAGCAGTGACAAACAAAATTTACTTGTGTAAATGACAGATCATTATTGTTAGCAGAGGTGAAAGGAAATTAATTAAATTTTAACAAGGATATTTTCATGTGTTTTTTATATAACAATTGACTGATTAACAAAGGATAGAAATGACACTAGTATGCTTGCAAATATACTTGAAAAGAAAGAAGACATTAAAAGATAGCTATTAAAAATTGTGTGTGTCTGTATGTGTATGTGCATTTATTTGTGTAAAATAGTTTAGTCACTTAGGGGAAAGATAATACCCCATGCTGGGAACAAGTTCCCAACAAGGTATTACTTTAACCACATGCTAAAAGAAAAAGAGAAAAAAAAAGACAGAAACAGGGAGTTCCCCCTTTTTATAGCTGTTTAACAGTGCCATCTAACAGCATCTTGGCAAACCTGCCAAAGCCAAGTGGGGTTAACCCACAAGAATGATGACTGTTGACTCATATATTTTAGTTAATTGTGTTGTTTCTACTTTGAGATTAAATTTATATTCAGTGTATATAAAAAATCTATTATTGTTATTGTGTTATTTATAGGAAATTATCATTTTAGGAAAAAAGAATTTGTGTTTAAAGATCTTCCTTGGGGTACAGAATTTAAGTAATGCTATTTATTTATATTTTATATTTATTAAAGAGGAAAAACAAATCTAAGGAACCTTCTTTATGTAAACAAAAAGAATAGTTGTTGGTTTTCAATGTGATTAGCTTGTAATATAAATTTACCTATGTTAATATATTATTAATATATGTGCATTTCATATCCTTACTTTTTGATCATGGTGCACAGCTATTTTATTTCCTCATGAGAGAGGAACGAAAACCAGTCTAATTTTTTCATCCCTTTTTTCATATATAATTTCTTTTTCAAATTGACATTTATAGTAACTATATTTTTCGTCTTGTTCATTTTCCTCTTTTTAATAAATATGTTTGTTTTTATAGCAATTATAAAATTTGTGTTCATAAAGAAATGTTTGCTATTTATAGAAAGAAAACAATACAGATTAGAAATATATAAATTATAAATACAATTATTTAAAGATACAAAATATGAAAGAGAAATTATTTTTGTTCAATATATAAAAATAGAATGAATTTTTAAAATTTTTGTTTGTAACTTATAAAAATGTATATAGGCCTTAACAAAGGATTATATTTGCTAAGTTATTATAGGGAATGTGATGATTCAATATACTCAGCAGATTTCTTATATCTATTCACTTAGATACAAAAACTAAAAAAGGAAAATATATTTTTCTTGTGTGTTTTTGTATTTTGAATAAATAGGAATCTAATTTATTTGGAAAATTAACTTTTTAAAGCAGTTTGATTTACAAGTAAATTTAATGCAAAACTGAACTTTTACTTTGTGTTCATTTTTAATGAAAATTGATAATCTTTTTCTATAATTTTAAAATACAAAAGTTTAAAGAGATTAAAAAAAACCTGTAACTCTAATCCTAATTTATTGATGCAATAAAATAATTTTTTAGATTTTACTCTTCTGGACTGTCGCATGGAGCTATTTATCTATGTTAGACTATCTCTGCAAACATTAAAAAAGTAGAAGTGACATGGCAAAGGCAAGGTTAACTAGAATGATGTGATATAGCTAGTGGCACATAGGTCAGAGATTGTGGCCTAAGCTGCAAGTTATGTTGCTAGGCGTTGCTGCTTCAGGTTGGCTGGGCTGCCAGGCTGGTTAGTCTGCTTCGCTGTATGGGTAGGAAGAAAAGACTAAAAAGGGCAGTTGAGTAGGCACCAGATCTTTGGTTGGTGGGAGCAGTGGGGGTATGAGGCAGGAGCTGGAGTAATGGCTGATGGCAAGCTGAAGATGATGCTGGCTGGTAGCTGGAACTGCTGCTTCTGGCTGTAACCTTAGGCTGGCTGATCGGCTGCTGCTAGAACAGATACTACACACTCTTCCTCTTCACCTGGACACGGTAGGCTATCCACAGTTCCATTTCTGCATGCTGAATTTATGATGAGGAAGCACTAATATATTTACAAGTTTTGAGGCTACTTTTGGTTGCAAATGAACAGTCGTAAAGTAACTTTAAGTCACAAAATATAATGCAACTGAGTATCACGCAACCAAGAGTAGGAAGTAAATAGAATTTGCTTTGAGGTAGGGTACCATTGAGCCATATCTCTGAAACAACCCACAGAATTACTATTTTAGGTCATACTGAAGAATTCTGTTCACTGAAACGGAATAAAATAGGATTTTAAACTTACCCTCATTTTTATATAAAGGTGGACACACAATCAGGGCCCACTTTAGCATTATATGTACATTGTAAATTGAATTTCCAGTTGAGAGTCACTTTACTTGCTTTCACTTTAAAACTTATATTTTCTTGAAAATGAATAATGTCCCAAAGAAAAAAATGTTTTTATAAAGAGCAGAACAAATTATATTAATAAAATACATTTTTGTAGAAAAAAGTAGCATTTTACTTAATTTAGCAAAATCTTTAGCTAAATCATCAAAAACTTTGTGCATGAAAGAATGATTCAGTTACATTCAGGTGTGATTTTTGCTGGCTCATCTCAGGTGCTTCGCGAAGAACAATTCTCCAAGATTCAAGAACTTGAAGATGAGATGGTTAACACAAGGAATCAACATGCCAAAAGCATCCAGGCACTTAAAGAGAATTTTCTCCATGACAAAGAAAAATTTCGCCTTGAAGCAGAAACCAAAATTCGGACATTGCAACAGGAAGCAAACAAGGTGAGTATAAAATGGACAGGGGGAGATAATCGAGCTAAAAATTATAAAACCTGAGGAAATCAACATTGTTTTATAAATATACAAATAATATCTTTTTGTAAAGTGAAAATCCATCTTTTTTTTTTTTTTTTGTTTTAAATATGTCTTTTGGATGATGAAGGAGTCGAGAAAGCAAGAAACCAGAAAACAAGATGTTTTGTTTTTGTGTCTTTCTTTTTATTTAAGAAATGAAAGTATCAGAAATTTGTTGTGAATTTCTTGCTTTTGAGGAGAAATTACTGATATTTGTTGTATTGATATTTATTGAGTTTAACATATTCATCTTTTTTGGTGATAACTTTATTCCCTCAAATTCAATCGATTCAAGAATGTTTCATGATTTTTCTTAAAAAAAAGATGGTAAATAAACTTTATGCTGTTTTCCTAGAATCTAAGATATGCAATACTGTTGATACTGCACTCAGTCCACAAGGATACTAATCTAGAAAGAACGTCAATGCCAAAAAACAGAAATGAACAAAACTCAGGTTGTTTAATGTAAAAGTGAGCCTTTTTTTCATTTTACAGTCAATCTTGTGGAATTTCCATTGCTCCTGTTGCATAAACATGAAATGAATCCAACAGTTAATTAGTTTCTTTTTGATTTTTAGAGAAGCAAAATTTTCTTTCCTTTTTCTGGTCAGTGGTAAGTAGATAATTACTTGAGAATTCTAGGTGTTATAAGTAGAAATGAAAGGAACACTTTGAAAGAATTCTTCCTATGAAAAAAATGTGTCTTTTAAATTAAATCTGAAGTGTATCTTTGAGATGATGTTTTCTCTATCTATTGTTCATTACAGGAGGCTTTGCGTTGTTTGTCTGAATACACTCATAACATTCAAGACGAGAATCGTGTTCTTCGGAAACAGTTACTGGAATTATTACAGAAGAACCATGCTTTATTGATACACCAGAAAAAACTAGAAAAACAACAAAGAGAATTAATCCAGGAGCAACAGTATGCTGTTGATTTGCAAAAATTGCGTGGAAGGAAGCTGCTGAATGCATTAAAAAGTGAAGATCCAGGTTGTGGCCATGACTATCCTGGCCTGGCTGTCAGTAGTCTCCACTCATCTTCCTAAAGATAATGATTAACACTTTGCTTCTTTCTTCTTCTTCTTTTAAATCCTAATTAGTGATCAGTTTTGGAAGTAAAATTAAACTCTTCTGTAATTATCAATTGATGAAAAGTATGCTTTTTCTTTTCGAACCATGATTAGATGACAGCCACTAATTTTCACTTTACCACCAATCACAGTAACATCCAAATAGATTTTGCATCAAAGTGTGATAAAATGTCAGGTATTAATCATGCCTGCTGGGTGAGATAGTTATGTATAGGTTGTGTCTCTTTAATCCAGTAACTTTGGCACCTGGCCATTGTTGGACTATATATTTTTCTAATAGCGTCAAAAATAAAACAATAGATTTTTAATATAAAATATAAAAATCATTGGCGTTGTTTGCACATTATTGTGAAATGCTTTAATTTGAAGAATAAAGCAATTTGCAACTTAATAACAATGTGTAGTTGGTATTTATACTTACACCAAAAATCAATGATCCACTATTAAAGGGATTTTCTCATACCAAAAGAATTATCAATTGACATCTATTTAAGCACACAATTAAAAGGACTCTTACTCAGTGTGAAATGGAAAAGGAAAGAGATTGTTTATTTACAATAATATGAAAGAAAGTTGAGTTTAGGGGTTTGTTTAAAATATTCTTTTGTGCACATAAAGAAATTAAGCTAAATAGAGATAAAAATGTTCATAAGAAAATATTTATAAAAGTCTTTAATAAAGAGTGTAAGATGTCAGTGAAGTTAACAATGTGTTGTCAAATTTGGTTGAGCCATTTGGGAGTTGATAGATCAATATAATAATAGTTTGTTGAATGGAAGGAGTTACAGAATGATTTTTGTTTGTGGTAAACTTTCCAAAGTTAGTATTGCCTTGTAGAATTATAATTGTAGAGAATTGTCTACATATTATAAAAGAAAACTTGGTCTCATTGTGTATTTGTTTCATCTTCTTTCATGCTCTATAATCCTTTGTATCTTAGTGGCTTTATTGCTTTGCTTGGAGTGAAATGATTACTAAAAAAAAAAAAAAGAAAATATTTTCAGATGGATTCTACTGCAGTTGAGGCATTAAACTCACTCAAGAAACATCTGGAGGCTAACTTCCTTCTAGTTTCTAACATGGCTACTACTGTCATTCATTGAAATATATCTTACAGAAGAAAGTGATTAAATATTATTATAAAAAATATAAAAAAACATCTAACCAGGCACCATTGTTATGATATAAAAAAACTCATTGATACTGTTACTAGAAGCCGACATTTTCATACTAATTTTAAATTAGTATGAAACAGAACCTGCAACAGTAATGACACCAAGTGAGGGTTAAACTCATGATAGTAACAATGGTCTGTGAGAATAACTTGTAAACCATTAATCTATGGAAGGTACTAAAAAATTATTAAGGTTAGCTTAGTCTGGAACAGGCTGACAAAAAGAGTGCTCCCAGTGAGGATTGAACTCACTATATCTTTAATTCTACTGCTTGTACCCACCATCTTTCACTAGAAATACATGAATAATATAAAACTTTTTCCTTCTTGTTTAGATACCTTAGATGCAAGCTCACTGCCAATGGGGACTGGGAGACCTGGCCTCTCCAGAAAGTGATTTGCTATTTTAGTGTATAATTCTTACTTGCACCCTCTACCCCTGGTTTAAAACCCTCTGGTAATGAGCTGCTTAGATGGAAAGCCTAGTTGAAATTGGAAAAAAAACTCTTAGAAACATAGCAGAGATTTTCATTTATTTGTTGATGAACTTTGGATGGTGCTAATTTCAAATTTTAAACATGACTGAAATTGGCTAAGGATCTTATGAAAATTTTATAGATACAATTTCTTTTTTTACTTGTTTAGAACCTGCTTTGATTTTGAGAGTTATCTCAAGTCTTAGACAAAATTTGTCAAAAATCTTTCATAAAAAATGTCACAAATGTTTATCACACTTTGTTTACAGACCATTTTTGCTAGAAAGATGCAAATCAACACTTGCTTGAAATTTGCCAAAGATCTTTTAAAATGCCAAATACATTCTATTTTTACCTTGTTTTCCTTTTTGGATAATGTTTAGATATAAACAGGAATGGCAGGTCAGGAAACATA